ATCTGTTGAAGATTTGCTGGCAGGTAGAGATAAAGGAGCCCACCCAGACAATATCTGCAATTTGTTGGATTATGTCTGTTGTTCTTTTTTTGCTATTCGGTCTCAGTTCTTATCTTTCTTCTTGCCTTCCTGACTCATTTTCCCGCTTTCCATCACTGATCCAACACACTTGAGTACATGAATGTGTAGAAGGTTAATGGAGACCATTAGTAACCAGAGCTGACTGCAAAGCGCTGTAAATTAGCCAGAGGGTGGAGGATGAATGAATCTCACCTTACATGTGTTCCCTATGTTATTAATATGTCTGTCATACGTATATCTAAGCAGTGAAACAAATACTACATTTACTTTCTGGTAATAGTCAATAGATGATAGACATTTGCAGTGTAAAATAAACTCAGGATCAACTCTGAGCAATCCAGCTTCTAAAATTTTACGATTCTAATCCAGTCAAACTGCACTGAGTTTCACTGGGAATAATCTAGTCCAGTGGTAACCTTGTCGACCTTGGGGCCCAACGTGTTAAATCTAATGTGGCACAAGGTCGAATCAGATATTAACAATGTACCGATCAAAGTGTTAATTTCTGTAAATCTTGGTTTAATTTGTAATGTATTTGCATTATGACTAAATGAAATGCATTTACAGTTCAACAAACAAAGACCTTGTCAAATAACTCACAAGACATGATTATGACAAATATATAGCTGCTAACATTTGCTGGTGGCAATAAGGGACACAAACATTTTAGCTCATGCCAGTGACTTGAAGCGATCCTAGGAGGGTCTAGAAGCATATCCACCAGAAAATTTAGAAAAACGTCTTTTCAAAACTATGCATTTTCTAGCCATTTGAATTGCATTTTTCTAAATACTTGGGATTATTAAAAACAAAAAATTGTTATGTATTTATTGAAAGTTAGAACAGTGACTTACAACTAGTCTTTAAGAGGAACTTTAATTGAGTTCAGAAGCCCTACTCACAATATGTACTACTCTTATAATTAAATTCAAGTGTACTTTATTGTTAAAATCTATGTAACAGGGTTAGCACAGAAGTTGAAATTGCATTTCACCAGTCTCCAATGTGCAGTTAAACATATAAACATATAGATAAGACAATGACAT